TTTTCCACTCCTGCGAAATGGCTGAGAAGAAGTATCAAGAAAAGCATGGCTTGCATCCAGACGATGACTACAGAGGAAAGTAAGTGACCAGATGTAGGAAGTAAAGAGACCAATCTGAGCGGAGACACATGACAAACATGTAGGAGCAAATCAGCTTTTGCAGCTCAGCTTAGTAGCAAAAACCTTTCCCTTCGTTGGTAATACAGTTCGCTATTATCTACGCATGAAAACCCTGAAATGGGGTGGGCGTGGCTGCGTACTTCAACTAAACGTGGCGGTGGTTGTGCTTTTGGCGAGATATTTTCATTTTGAGACAGTTGTGGTCATGTCTTTGTCCAACACAGAACAAGATGACAGTTGTCTCACGTAGAAATATTTTATGAATAATCCATCCTACGTCATGTCCAAACGCCACTCCTTCCCCGTCTCAGGGATAAGGAGTGTAATCGGTAGGACCCTCTCACTGGTCCTTGTCCGCAATCGCAAAGGCATACGACTTTTTCATCAGGAAATGAGTGGAGAGGTTTATGCATCTCTCGTACACGGTAGCGATGCCACCAAGCAGGCCACCGAGCGACCCTACAGAGACACAGCTGAAGCGAATGCCTTCAGTTAATTTGTTTATATCTTCTTGCTCCTCTTTCTATTTTCTCATTCTCTCCCTATGGCATGTCACCAGCGCTGGCAGTGTCTTTCGACCGCTGTGTCTTCGAACTCTCCTCCAGTTCACAAAATCAACGGTAAAAAGAAGAAACTCATTGACGGTAATTTTGATTTTTTTAACTGTCCTCGTTTTCGAAGATAACTACTATACTAGACTACAAACTATATTTGAATCCCAGCGCCCATTCTTTCAACGGAGTGTATCCCCATCCCGGGTGTGTTTTCAACAACAATGATCGTCTCAGGGTGTCTTCTCGAAGATGTAGAGCCGATAGAAGTGGTTAATCGAACTTAAGGGTCTTAAATATGAGCCCTGCTTGTCAGCTGGTATCAAATTGGTGACTGATATTTATGCTTGGTGAGATTGCTCTTCTCAATCTCTATCTC